TTAGTACAATAAGTACAGTCCAATTTGATTATTTCTTCTTCTTTCCTTATAAATACGTATTACTTGATTTGACTTGAAATGAACTGGCCTCAAGTACTTCCAACAAGCTCAGTTTAAAGAAGAGTCCAATGTCTTTTTTGAGTAGAAACAATGAATCATACAGTTTGAATCTGCAACAAACAATGCTCCCCACAGGCAGAGTGAACTACAATCGTATTCTTTCACGAGAAACAATGCAGTTCACTAAAAGACAGTAATAACAAAAGGTATGAGATGACGAAGAGGAGAGGAAACAGTAAGGAATGCTCCGTGGTCAGAGGGGAGATGTATAATTGCACAGCTACAGGTTTAAAACACCTTCTCTGTACTCCACTAGGAGCTATTCTGGCATCTATCAGTGCACACAGAAAACACAGCGTTGATTACATGAAATGTGATATGGATCTGAAGCCGTTGCCACTGGGTCAATACAAATGACAAAAGAGTATGCTAAAGACAGTGTGTTTTTAGCTCACTCAGCACACCTGTCAGATATAGTCATCACACTTCCTTTTTCTCACTGCCACTCTGTCTAACCCTAATTTGATCCTCTCCCTATTGATTCATCATATAAGATTTGCCTACAGCTTAACCACACATTGCTATTTGTTTTTTTACTGTTTACAGGGTCGACTTGTGCTCAGAGTGATATGAGGAGATACCACTCTCATCTGTGCCTGTTAAATATGAAGCTACAGCCAGGAGAGCGCTAGCTAGGCTTAGCTTAGCATTAAGACGGAAAGCAGGAGGAAGCTTCTCGCACAGCCCTGTACAAAGATGAAAAAGTCTTCAAATAAACAAGTAATAATCCAGTCTTCCACTCTTTATGCTAAACTGATGTAATCGACTGGTGACTGAATCTCTATATCCAATGTACAGACATGAGAGTGCTATTAATCCTCTTATCTAACTATCTAGTGCATGTGTTTGTGTATCACTATCCTATCAAATGCCTCACCCCTTTAACAACAATCAGGGAATACATGTGGGCCAAAGCACTGCTTTTAACACCAAAAACAACAGTGAATATTTTAACAGATTATGGTAATTAAAAATCACACAAGGTGATATGCAAATGTGATGTGCTACATGTTGTACTAAACATGTTTGTTGCACAACCAAGACATTGTTGTTTTGGGAATAGATTTTCAATATAATATTCTCTTTAAAAAACAGCCATTTCTGTGTATCAAAGTTTATCAATGAATCAAGCAGCAATTCACAAGTGTTTGGTTCTTCAGCTAAAACCTACTTTTTACAAATTCCTAATATAAGTAAAGATAAATAAAAAGCATCATGAAATAGAAAAGGAAGGTTATCAGGTATGTTTTCTTTGGTATTGTTGGCTCTGAATGTCCCTGTAGTATTTAATTAAACAATATTTGGAAATATCTTTGCTTTTGCATTAATCATGAAGCTTATTATTTGAATGACGACAATTATCTTTTTAAGTAGGACGTTTCAGATTTAAAAAAACTCTAAAATGGTATTGATGATTTTCACTGCTTAAAACCAATTGTGAAACCGCACTCGATCTGGAAATGTTATGTACTTGCAGAGGATAAAATGGCGAGGGAGGCTAATTACTGGAGGGAGATGGGAGTTATGTGAATTATAGATGTTTGCTCTGGTCTGTGATATTTTCATGTTTATAAGTAGTATAAATGTGTTGAGCGGAGAGGGGCCGAGCGGTCGCACGGCAGAGAAAACTCTGTGGTGGGTGGTGTTCTCAGTTTCCTCTCAGTTTTCATACCAGTTAGATAATTGCATCGTCAAGCACTTTCCCCCCCGCTTTCTCTTTAATAGTGACACAGTTGGAAGCAGTGTTATTAAGTGCTACAGAAGTCCTGAAACTAAATTGGGGCTATTATAAAACACTTGAATTATTCAAATGATATCACTTATTAAGAAGTAAGAAAACCTGTAGTTTATTTTAAGTCAATCCTGCTCACCGTTCTGTTGCTGAAAATTATATTGAGTGCAATGAACATGCATTCATCCAAAGCAGAAAATAGTACCTTAAATGTTTCATTGTCGTTTGCAAAAGACGAATGAGAAAACTTTTATTTTTATAAAATTACTAATCCTAAAATAAATTAACTAATTGTTATAATTTTTGAATGACTAACATTTTCAGTAAGAATATGTTTTTTCAGCCACCTTTTGAACTCCGATAATCTCTCTCTTTAAGCTTCGTTTGGGTCTCGACCAACTCCTGAAAGAAATTGTTATTGTGTCAGATTAACACTGATTTGTCGGTGCACTGAAAAAACGGAAACGTTTACTTTAATTCAATGTATTAATTCAACAAATGTCACATAATTTAATTAGGTTAGTTGAAAGCAATACTATTAAGTTGAACCTAATATGTGTTTATTTAAACTTAATTATATTGCTTTCTACTAACTAAATACAATTAAGTGAAATCTGTTCACATTGAATTAAAGTTTTTCAGTGTGTCAATCTGGTGAACATTGTGGCTTTTAGAGCTTTTTTTCTGAAAACAGCTGCCAAAGAAATGATTAGATCAGTGAAAATGAACAAAACAGCAAAGCTGTGTCTGTACACCAAACAATGACCTGAAACTCGCTATAAATCCATAAAGCTATAGGGGACCAGTATATAAAGGTTATATGTTCTTAAGGTTCATCAACAGGAACTACCCCTTTCACACGTTGCTTTGATACTTAACGTAACAACTCAATGTTAATTAGATAAAAAAACACATGAACTTTGATGAACCTTTTAGATTTAGGTGAACACTGTTAATGTCTGTGTTAGACTCACTTAAACCACGTGTGCATGTTTCTGTGTATGTCAGTGTTTTAGCAGAGTGTTTGTCTGCACGCACACCTCAAGGTGAGGCCATGGCTTACCCACAGGGACGGACACACTCCACAGTAAACACATCACTCCTCTCTCCCTCCCTGTATCTCATTACCCCAAACCCTGTAAAACAAGAAAGACAGCGATAAAATACAACAGGGAGAGAAAGATAAACGATAGCACAAGTGAAAGATATGGATTGGGGAGATAAAATAACTCCTTCATTTGGGGTGAGTCTCAGAGGAATACATGCAGTGTGTGGGAAGGCAATGGTGGCGGTTCACAATCCAGCCTTTCCTTTGCAGCTGTGCCATTGTTCTTACTGAAATTAAGTCCAACTGAGCTGTCGATTGAGAGGAAGAAGTTGTATTGTGGGCTCTATGGTCTTTTAATATGGTCTGACCAACCTTTCTCTTTATCTGCTTGATAAAAGCAGTCATGACCGAAAGAACGAGATCGCGGGTACAAGCGGCCGAGATGGGTTTTCTCTGCAGGGTGGCTGGTGTCTCCCTTAGGGATAAGGTGAGAAGTTCGGTCATCCGGGAGGGACTCGGAGTTGAACCGCTCCTCCTTCGCGTCGAAAGGAGCCAGTTGAGGTGGTTCGGGCACCTAGTTAGGATGCCACCTGGGCGCCTCCCTAGGGAGGTGTTCCAGGCACGTCCAGCTGGGAAGAGACCAAGGGGTAGACCTAGAACGCAGATGGAGGGATTATGAATCTCTTCGCTGGCCTGGGATCGCCTTGGGACCCCCAGTCAGAGCTGGTTGAATGTGGCCGGGAAAAGAAAGTTGGGGCTCTCTGCTGGAACTGCTACTCCGCGACCCGACCACGGATAAGCGGGAGAAGATGGATGGATGGATGGATGGATGCTTGATAAAGAATGCCCTTTCCGTTTCCAACTGATTGCCTTCCGAAGTGACTCACTGCTCTTGTGTTTTCCTGCAATTACAGGATTTATAATGGTAACTGAATAGTGATTTCACGATGGAGCAATATAAAAGACAAAAAAAAAAGTAAAAAACACTGTAAAAAAAAAGTGTGTAGGTATGGAGAGGACTCTGTGAAGACACTTTGAAATGTAGGGAGAACGAAACTACAAATTTGCTGTGGTTAACATACAGCGGTCCGATAAGCATTACATGTTACCTTCAGAATNAATGTATTTAGGTAGAATTGATTCCTTACAGGGAAAGTGAAGTATTTGCCCTCCGCCCGGGCCAGAGCGCGACACGCCTGCACGGTGGCATTGAGGACGCCGTCCTCAATGCCACCGTGCAGGCGTGTCGCGCTCTGGCCCGGGCGGAGGGCAAATACTTCACTTTCCCTGTAAGGAATCAATTCTACCTAAATACATTTTAATTTGAATGTTGACCATTGCCTGTATTGTTAATTATCATTATGCCTTATTAATTGTGTGTGTTTGTCCACAGCCTTTGACTGCTGTGTCTGTTGCTGTTGCCTGTGAAGCGTCAAAATCATCCAAGAGCTTCAGCGACGCTATCAAATTAATCCAAAAAAAGAATCGACACACAGATAAACATTATTTCTACTCAGCACCTCATCACTTTGACGATGAACAGTTCTTGGAGGGGAGGAGACTCATCACAGAAGGATTGTCCGTTGTGAAGGCCAGCAACAAGCGTGACAACTTTGTGACAGCAAGAGAGAAACTGGGGAGAATCTTACACACTTTACAGGTCATTTCTTTATTTGTTTTTTTTTTCATTACAGTTTTTGACATGTTCAATCAATTTAATTAATTTCCATTGGCTAATTTCTTTTTTAAATCATGGGGGACATCTTTAAAGTGCATTAATGAAGACTTCTGAAAAACATCATCTTGGTATTTAAAGATATAGACTTTAGATAATAGTTGCAATATTTAACTTCTTTCCTTTTTAAATAATAGGATTTCTACAGTCATAGTAACTGGGTGGAAATGGGAAACAAACTCCCAAACTCTAACCTGTTCAGGGAAGGGACGAGCATCGGAAACATAGCAGGTAAAAAATATCATGTCAGCGTTTGTCTCCACAAAAAAAGAAACAGATAAGTGACAAGAAAAAAGAAAACTGACAAATTGTTCTTTCTCAAAGACAAAGACAGAGCAACCTGTCGCAACTGTGACGGCGATGACTGCAGGAACAACATTTTGGAAGATATCCTACAGGAAAAGATACTTATTTCGGGATATTTTGCTATATTGTTAGTTCTTCCAAACCAGAAGGTAAAGGATGTAACACCTGCCTCCATCCTTGTTATTTTCCAAAGAAGATAGAAGAAGTGTTCTCTTATCTGTTTCTATTACTGAACAGGAAAGTGCAGCCATGGAGGTTTTTGGGATGAAACACGCAAGACTGAACCTAAAGGTGGGATCAACAAAGACAAAGTTGGCTCCGACCATGGACACCTCCACATGACAGCAGCAAATATGGCTATAGCTGCCACCAGTGAGCTACTGGAGGACATTCGGGGGGCTGCTGGGGACAAAACCTTCCTCCAGTAAGAAACCCATTCTGCATGTTGCAGTTAGTGTAAAACTGTAAATGGGATCTTCTCTTATCTCTTTGTTCCTTCTTCCCTCAGGTTGATGGGAATCAACAAAGGATCCAGTAAAGCTCTTTTCTTTGTAATCGACACGACAGGAGGCATGAGCGATGACATCGATGCAGTGCGGGCCGTCACTTCCTCTATAATCGACAGTAAAGTGGGAACAAAAGATGAGCCCTCACTCTACATTCTTGTTCCTTTCAACGATCCAGGTATTGTTATGCCCCGGACTTTTCAATCTTGTCTAGTATTTTGTTTTGAGAAAAGGGTTATTTGTACCATTAAATTATAACATGTGGGACTGCGGCATCGCTCACCTGGTTGAGCTGGTGGCTCATATACCGGACATACTTTAATGTTGAAGTGTTGTTCACATAATATGTCAATAATAAAGAAAGAACATATATCTGTAAACCAGAAAGTATCCAACAAACACAAGCAGAAGAGGAATGTTAAAATCATGTATTAATCCTTTCTTCACGTGAACCCCAGATTTTGGGCCACTGCTGAAGACTACAGACCCAAATGTCTTCAAGAATGCGATTGATTCACTAAGAGCAGATGGAGGAGGAGATAGTCCAGAGATGAGTCTTTCAGGGCTTCAGGTGCTGAGATGTTTATGAGACTACTTCATATATGGTCAACTTTTCATAATAAGATAAAACATTTAAAGAACACTTCTGTATGCTCCTACAGCTGGCTTTAGCTGGTGCTCCTCCTGAGTCTGAGATCTTCCTCTTCACGGATGCTCCTGCTAAAGACACACACCTGAAAAGCACAGTGATCGCACTCATAGAGCGCACCAAGTCTGTGGTAAGTATCTACTATTGGGGGCCAAGAAACGCTTAAGAACAGTAGTTTTCAAACTTTTCAATAATGTATCCGCTGACCAACCCAAAACATGTTGGTAGATAAAATAAAAAATATTTAAAAAGAGACACATACACTAAAAAAACATGCAAGTTTATATACAAGTAAGGCCGTACTTAGGCTCAACAGTGCATTAGGTTAAATGCTAGAGTCAGCATGTTAACAGGATTAGCTGTAGGTAGGCCTAATGCTCGCCGTTGTAGTTTAGCATTCTAATTCTAACATTTACTAATTAACATTAAACACAAAGAACTTTGTTCATACATATTGATATTAATGCCGGTTATACTATGCAGGTATGGATATGATAATGAGTAGGCCTATTCAATATCACAACTTTCAAATACTTCTACAGTGGATTAAATGTATTACATTTGACATATAGAAATGAATTATTTGGTCCAAATAAGGCTGTAACATTGTGGGCGAAATTACAAGATAGGCCTGATAAAATAAAATGCATCGCAATAATAAACCTATGAGGTTTTTGCGATTTGGTTTCCTTGAACTCTAAGCTCCTCCCAGTTGGCTTTACGCCTCTAACTTTCCTTGATATTTCTGTCTCTGTTTAGGTGAACTTCATGATAACTGCCGCACTGCGATCCCGTCGGCGAAGACAGGTCGGTGACAGCGAGCAGCAGCAGAGTCGGATGGGGGTCTCAGACGCCACGCTGTACAGAGACCTGGCTCAGGTGTCAGGGGGTCTGGCTATAGAAGTGACCAAGGCTGAGCTCCCTGCGGCCACCAGCATCATCACACAGTCCTCCACCTCCTCTCTAGTACCAACACTCTCACTCGCCGTCACAAACACTGCTTTCTAGTCTATAAAGATTCAGTTGTGTCTTCAGTTTCCTTTCCCTTTCTAGGTGACTCTTCTGCAAGCAAACAGAAATCCAGGGAAGGCAGACCATTTCACTTTCTCAGTTGATGAGTCAGTACGAAACATCACAGTTTACACCACTGGGACCTCCACCACCTTTACTCTCACAAATCCCTCAGGTGATACTGTAACAGGTCATAAGCTAATTATTTTAATTATTTATAAGTCACACAAAACATGGTGTTAAACAGAATCTGTGACTTGGTATACAAAACGCACTTTTCCTGACTTTGGTACAATCTGGAGGTAGTCATAAATATGAAACTGGAGTAGACAATGATAAACTCTACTACTTTTGAAAAATGATAAAGCTTGGTTAACTGTTTTTAGCTTTTTAACACATGTCCTTCATTTCTCATAATGGATTTTGCCTTTAGGTGTGTCTCAGGAAAGCACCAACAACAGAGGACCGTTGATCACTGCCTCCCAGTCAGTGGGAAACTTCCAGACTCTGCAGCTAAAAGCTGAAACTGGACTTTGGGAAATACAATTTGTGTCAACAAATCCATACATTCTGAAGGTTGTAGGTGAGAACTCTTTCACTGTGGTTGAATTGTGAATAAATACTCATCTTTTTAGGTATAACTATCCTTGTGGCGTCTTTGGTTGATTCTCTTTTATTTTGTAACTATTCATTTGCAGGTGTGAGTGCCATTGACTTCCTGTTTGACTTTTTGGAGGTATCGCAGGGTCCACTTGGAGGTCTTGAGATTATAGACAATCGTCCGAGAGCTGGTAAAGGAAACACAGTTGTGTGATATGCCAAAGTAATCCCTTCCCCTAACGTTATATATCTCAGTGGATTTTTCTCTTGTTTTGAAGGTGTCAATGGTAGCCTCCTGGTGACAGTAACAGGGAGCGACACCGCCACGGTGACAGAAGTCCTTTTGGTCGAATCGTCCGGGTTAAGGCAGGTTATTGGCAGCGTGGAGGCTAAGGGTGGAGGAAACTACTTGGCTCGGTTCGACAGGATACCAGCAGAGGAGTTTGTGGTGCTGGTGAAGGGGCAGAACAACAATGATTCCTCCAGAGCGACGTCAGTGAACTTCCAGAGGCAGTCCACCACCAGCATCAGAGCCTCTACTGTCAGCGTTAGATCTGTAAGTTCAATGCATCCAACGAAAAACCTTATGCCTTTTATTGCCTTCATTTATTAAATATACGACTGCTGCTGACTATTTTACTTCTGTTCTTAGCCTGATACAGCTGGTGTCTTGGAACCAGGAACGCCTCTTTCTGTTTCCTTCTCTGTGGCGACAAGCGGTGCAGGAGGAACCTTCAGTATCCAAGCCACGAACGACCAAAATTTCGATTCATCTTTTCCGTCCAGTTTAATCGTGGAAACTGGAAGCACTGCTAACGGGGCAGTGGACATCACGGCCCCCTCCAACACCCCCTCTGGCACTGACGTTACTCTGACCATCGAGGCCGAGGCTCCAGGAGGCACCGACGCCAATTATGTTGTGCTGCGTTTCACCGTCCTCACACCGGTAAGACACCACACATCACATTACAATAAATGCATAGGCACTCAATTGCTATACTATTTCCAGGTTCATACTTGTATTTTGTGTTCTCCTTGAAGAAGTTTATAGCTACATTTCTTTTTTAAAACATCTCATGTTTCACCCTTAACCCTCCTGAAAAAGCTCAGTCTGCTCTGATTGGTCAGTTCTTCCTTTTTATTTCCTTACTAATCTTTAATCTCTGCATCTCTTCAGCATCATTGCAGTGGAGGACAGACTGTAACACAGCAGCAGCATTTTCTACATATATATTGTACAGTTGTGAAACCAAAACCTCACATTAGTCCTGAATTGAGCATTTTGATACTTTGCAGGATTTATACAGCACCTAAACCTGCTTTATAATTTAACAAAACGTATGAAAATCTCACCTTTAACAACATGGGACCTTATATAATTTCACTATTGGGTTTATTTGTTGAAATAAATGTCAAACCATCTGTCTTTATCCACTTTTTCTCCTCACAGGTGACTGATTTCGCTCCGCCGGTGTGTCAGAAAGTCAGCCTGCAGTCCAACTGCTCTGATTCCTGCAGCTCGTCGATGTGGGAGCTCTCTGTCCAGGTGACTGATGAGGACGGAGGGTCAGGTGTTGACCGCGTTAGTCTCAGACAGGGCAACGGGACTTTGAACACCAGCCTCGCTGCTGGAAACATAACGATGGTTTCATACGATGCTTCTTGCTGTTCGCCGGATGTGGAGCTCGTGGTTGTGGATGAAGTGGGTAATGTGGCAACCTGTTTCTACAGCTTCCAAAGAGCTGTGTCTTTGTCCTCCAGAGCTGTGCCCTCTTTCCTGCTTTTCTTTTGCATCACCATCCTGGGGCTTAATTTGCCATTTTAAATGGGGATCAACTGATCATTAACTTGTTTCGAGGGGGCAGGGTCTTACTTTCAATTTGGGTGATGTGCTGTAAAACTACCCTTTATGAAAATTAAACTACATAGCGCATGTGCTGTATGCATTATAGGATCTTGGTGTCAAAAACCTTTAAAAGCTTAATGGAGTTGTGAATGATTCAGCCATATGAACATGTAAATGTTATTATTTTACCTAAATTAAGGATCATTTGTTTATAATGTGAGTACTACTGCTGATATTGAGATGTAGTATGGTATTGTTGATTTAATGATTGCTTTTATTTGATTAATAACATTAGTTATATATATATATATATACTATATAAGTAAAGTGCTGCTTCTTTAAACAGCTGATTAAAAAATATCAAGGATGATACAATAAAACAAAAAAAGTGACGTTGACCACTGTGATCATTTTGGAAGAAATATTATAGTGGAAAAAGTCAGAGGAAAGAAATGTGATCTGGTACTGTCATGACAAAAACGGGAAAGGATACAGTGTAAAGAGTAAATCAAAGTATTTATAACAATAAATAAAGCAAACTAATACTAAAGATAAAGCTACCATAAGAAGTGTGTGTGAGTCAGTAACATCAGTTGCGTAGCTGCGAATGTGTGAGGATAATATAGTGTGAGGTGTTGGATGCAAAACTCATGCAATACCAAATGAAAGTTAAAACCGGTAGCTGCTCTTAGGAAGGGGAAAAGAGAGAGAGGCTCTGGAACAGGGCTCTTAATCAGGCACACTCACAATCTGTTACCTACAGGGACAAAAACGAAAACAGGTAAGAACCAAAAGACCTAAGGGGTTGGTCAGGTCAGTCACAGTGAAGTTCTGCATGTATTAACTACCTGTGGGTCCAGCATCAATCTTAAGAATGCAGCATCTTCTGATTACTTACATTACATACATTAAATATCATCAATGGTGAATGTAAAAAATGTAAAACACACGTCGTAAACTGCAGCAGGGAATAAACATAGAAGTATAAAATCATTCACTAGAGCTCCCTCCAGTGGAGGAACACTTCAAATAAGGAATGTGTTTAAACTCAGCGTACCATGGCCCTAAAGTTATTTAACTTCTGCTAGTGATAGGTAAGGGACAACAACAAAAAAGCCTCCTCACTGCATGTTTGGTTTAAAGTTATAACATTATAATCCTGAGGAAGAATATGATTTTGATGAGTCAATGGTGTTTGAAGCCTGTTCGCCTGCCTTTCCCTGCCAACTTTGAACAGAATAAAAGTGAAAGAAATGTTGGAAGAGAATAGATCAAGAGGAGGTTAATGTACTGAGAAATATTTGATTGTTTGCCCCACCCAAGCCATCCAGCTTTGTGGTATTTGTAGATGACATCAAACATCACTCAAATGTTGGTGCTGAAACCGAAATTAAGAATCTTGATTTGTAAGATAGTTTCGACCTGTAGAGAAATGTATAAACAGTTTATCACACATATCTGATGGTGTCAGTCTTGCAGCTTATTCTCACTCTTATAATGAAAGTATACACAAGTGCTCTTTGGTTTGCCTATTTCAACAGAAACCTTTAAGGAACTCCCAAATGTATATCAGTACAGCTCCCGCCTGCAGTGTTTATCTTGATGAGGGTGCGTGATCGTTTTAGATTGTTTTATGATAAGAGTGCTGGTTGTCTTCTTAAGAAACCTGAAAAAACACATTTAAAGACTTGTTTTGGTCAATGCAACAAAACATGCTTTATATGTGTGTTTATAGTAGTTTTTAACATTACAGTAAATGAGACCATTTAAAAATATATATATTAATGTGATGAATGAAGGAAAGAGCTCTTGACTTTAAAGGTTTGACTATCACTGTATCAGGGAACTATTGTGTGTTTTCATTTCAAATGAATTCCAGTTACCATTTTCTGCCAGGTATTGACTTGTAAAGGTTTTATAAAGTTCATTAGAAATTCAATCTTTCATTACGGTTGATGATTCTGCAAAGATAACTGGAAATAAAAAAGTCATATCTAGACGTCATATTCAAAAACGACCTTTGTCATAAGATAAAAAAAACCTAAACCTTAAAATGAAAGAATTCCAAAAGTATTTTTACCACACCTCTTCACCCGTTCAACAAGTTCTGCATGACTCCTCCTTTTCAGTGCAGCACCAAGGGACTGACATTATATCTCCTTCAAGTTTACAGGACAGCATCAAGACCAGGTAAGAACTCTTTTAACTCATAATTCAAAAAAAAACTTAGACATTAAACTTTTTCCTACAATATGCTAGTATATATTACAATGTATGTAATCTTTCATAACATTTCTAAAAGCAGAATGCATTGTAACACAAGAACAAAATCTGATAACGTTGTACAGCCAGCATGCAGTGCTCCGAAGCTGCTTTGTCATCTTTTCTAACATGCATGGAAAGTTATGGAATAAGGGCGTAACAACTCTGGATCAAACAAAAAAACATTTAAAGTTGTTATTTACTTAGTCTGCGACCTACTGAGTAATCCTTTGCACTCTTGGGAGGAATTTAAAATGTATGCTGTGGCCTTGTCCTTTTTAAACTACTGTGGTGGATACATATTCTATTACTAAGGTACATCTTAATAAAAACTGACCAAACATTTTTTAAGGGCAGATGGACAGATGGCTTGTGAAGCACTTAATGAATCTGATGTGGATTTATGCCAAAATGACCTTAATATTTACAAGCAGGCAAATTAGCCTATACATTTTTCCTTTATAATGTTGTGGGTACTTCCAAAAAACGAGTTACATCTGATTGTTTACTTTGGACATTTAGGAACCATCAATAAATGATGGTTTGAATGAAACAGCACCAATGTTATTCCACCTCTGTGCTGCTGACCTTCCCATTTAAGTGATAATTATGAAATTATAAGAAATTATCCTCATGGTGTAAAACTTTTCCCCCAAAAAGCATTTATAGAGGATTTTTTCAGGGTTTTATCCCAGTAGTAATACAATGCTGCATTCATGTGAAGTCTTGGTCACATGAAATGGAAGCCATTAGAATAATTTAGACGATGACGCAACCGTTAAATGTTCATAACAATAATAAAACAGAAAATCATTTAAAAAGAGGTGTGTCCTATTTGTGTAGTCGAATTACTGATCGTTGTTAAGGTAATTGGCCAGCATTACATTACTTGACCAATGACATTTGAGACTCCACCTACTCATACAACATATATAAGGAGTACTTTGGAGGCGTGATCTCCATTTGAGCACTGCTCCCAGGACTGAATGCAGGAAATGGTGATTAATATCATGATTGTGTGTCTTTAAGACATATTTTTAAGAAGTATAATTCATTTAAAATGCCTACCTTTCTTTACAAACATAGGGCTTAGCCAAATGATGGTAAGGGGATGTGTGCCCTCAAAGAGGTGCTGATAGTATAGTGTACTAATCAATGCTGACAATTGATGTCAAGTAAATCAGCAATCCATGTAAACATAACACTCTCAGTTTAAAAATAAATAAAAACATTTACATTCATTTGACTGGTGACTTTAGGAATTGTGGAGAGCTGATTTGGATGAATAAAAGAAAAGAAAAAGGACTGTTACAGTCCCACAGGGGAAACGACTGAGGAAGGTTGAGTTAAATAGATGCGTTTCTTTTGTCCTCAGGCTCTTTGATAGGTTAAGGAGGCATGTCTCCATGGTTGGCTGCGTTTGGTCTCCTGCTCCTGATACCTGGAGCTCTGGGGTTTGCCATATTGCCAGGAGAGTCTCTGAATCACCTGGAAATCACTGAGAGAGCCATCTTAAATGCCACCGTGCAGGCGTGCCGTGAGCTGGCCAAAGCTGAGGGGGCGGACTTCACGTTTCCCGTAAGAATACCCTCTGCTGAAGTTGTTTTTTTAGAAATTATTTGTTGTATTATGTAATGTATTGTAATAATTGTTGACACTGTGTTTAGACAACGCCTTTCACTGCAATGACTGTTGCTGAAGCCTGCGGAACACCAAAGTCCTCCAAGAGTTTCCGCCAAGCCATTACATTCATCATACTGAGGAATATACGGGTGGACATCCGTCATGCCTTAAATGCCAGCTTCCACTTTGATGAGGAAATGTTTGTTCAAGGAAGGAAAATTATCACTGAGGGAATAAGGGTCATCAAAGCAAACAACAAGCAAAACAACTTTGAGTCAGCAAGGCAGAAAGTGGGAGAGATTTTACATCCTTTACAGGTATTTATCATCACTTTAAAAACACTACAAATTCACTTTTAAAAGAAGAGACAATGTTAGTAACCCTGATCACCTTCTGCCATCTTGAAGGACTTCTACAGTCACAGTAACTGGGTGGAACTGGGCAACATATTTCCAAACCCTAATCTGATCAGATCTGACACCAGCATTGGAAACATAGCAGGTAAAGAGATGAGCGGTTTATCTGACAAAGAATGCAGCTTGGGTGTGATTATTTTTGAAGTTATTAAGCATGAAAAAACGTTATCAAAAAAATCTTTCTTGATGAACTTTTCCTCAGAGGAAAGCAGGGCAACATGCAGAGACTGTGACGGAGACGACTGCAGGAACAACATCTTGGAGGACATCATAGAGGAGGGGATACTGACCTCTGGATATTTTGGTTTAGTGCCTATCGTGTCAACCAAACCAAAAGGTGATTCATTTCAATCAACATTATACCCTCAGAATTATTACTAGTTTATTACATTGGAGAAGTTATATCGCCTTCCCAAAGTTTCCACCTCACTGTAAGATCTATTTTTGATGGTGAGTAGTTGACTCTTCAACAAATGTTATGTCGACAACATTTAAAAGACTTAGTTAAATGTCTTAGTATCAGGAGAGCAGTTCAGTAATGTCCTTATTTCTTAACCTAAAACAAATTTTGCATCATATTTTAGTAATGCTTGCGCATCGTGCAGCACTGCATTTATTCCTTTCTTGATGTTCAAAAGGAAAATGCAGTCATGGAGGACCAGTTGATCAAACAAGCAACACCGAACCTAAAGGTGGGATCAACAAAGACACATTAGACTCCAG